AGAGGACCGTTTTGAATGCGTGACATGCCTGATTTGGGGAACATTGACTGATTGGAAGTGAAATGTGTAAAGCTACCTATATGAGCGAAACTTCTCTATTCCCCGCGCATTGGAGCGGATGGATGTGTTCACGTCGTGCTGAGCCCCTGCATATCACATCTTGAGCATTTTTGAAGGGGCCGCTTCTATAGGGGCGACCGTAGGCTAGGGGGGGGGGGACCGTGGGCCAGGGGTAGTGAGGGTGTATTTTTGTCGCCGACCGAATTTCTGCGGATACGCCTGTCGCCAGCAGCGCAACGCGATACCATATGACAAGAAATGGCAGTGACGTTTATGCCCAGCAGCGTAATCAGAAACCAGCGTATCACCAAAAACTTATTTTATCACTGCAACTTGCAATATCATGCACGCAACCAAAACGTCCATTTATGCAATGCCACTCAACTGGTGCCAGGATGACTGTCGCTGCACAGAATGCAAGCACACCGGTCCTACACAATGGGATAGTTCAATCACGAATACAGTCTTCTGCCATACTAGGGAGGTGCCGTGGCCTCACGACCAAGCTTGATCTACGTGTGGATTTGCTTTTCTCGACCGCGAAAAAAAATCGGCGAAGGACCTCGACAGGCTGTCATGTCCTCAGAGCAGAAGGCTCTGAGGACATGACAAAATTCCAACCGGTGGCTGGTAGCACTGGGAGATGACGGAAAACATGCGTGCCTCCTCGAGGCTTGCCCCGTTATGGAAACCACGCGCGCCCTCCGAGCCGCAGCCCAGCCATCATCATGTCTCCACCATACCTCAGGCACGCTCCAAGCCCGGCGCGACAGTGTTGCCTGATGGGCACCTTTTGATGCGCCACAGCAGTTTGTATCTACATGTTTAAACAGGGCTTCTAGGCTGCCTGGAAAGGGACGAGCAATATCTGTGTTTCGTGGTTGGGCTCAAATTAAGATGACGGCGAGTGCGCAAATGCTATGCAGGGGGTAGTACAGGCATGCTGGAAGGATGTACCGGGGTCATGGAAAGATGGGATTACAGAGCTGTTTGGAGACAACAAATACCGGTTGTTTCATATGCTTGTCACGCTGAGCAGAACCAAAGAAACAAAAAAAGGAAGCGACAGAAAACAATCATTTGGGGCTGCAGCCCAACTTTAGGAGACTGTGACATGCTTTGATGAACGGAAGATACCAGAAATTTTGGGCTAAGGCCTAGTGATTTCTCACTGTTTGACCAACGAACTGACATGTGGTTTTACCAACACGACACAAACCTGCTATCGCCGATTCTAAGCCGTTTCAATTACCCGTTACATACAGAAGCTCAGCGGTTCGTTTGTTGATTTGGACGCACCGAAGGCACGAAATTGTAATCTATCTATCTATCTATCTATATATCTATCTATCTATCTATCTATCTATCTATCTATCCATCTATATATAATATATATATATATATATATATATATATATATATATATATATATATATATATATATATCTATATCTATATCTATATCTATCTATATATGTAGGTATACACATATAAGCACACACACACACACACACACACACATACACACACACACACACACACACACACACACACATATATATATATATATATATATATATATATATATATATATATATACATATATATATATATGTGTGTGTGTGTGTGTGTATATATGTAGATATGCTTCAGGAACAATGGTACCATGGTCTGTCCCCCTCTCGCCGGCTACGTGCCTGAAACCGTCCTTTTCACCAGGAGCCGCATTATAACCCTGTCGAGTGGCAGATGGCCGTATGTCGCCCAGACATTGGACTAATATTTTGGCGGAAGGTAAACATGGACCTCGGGATGTTTCCGATTATAACTGGTACAGCTGCATAAGCATTAGCACGTGCACTGGAAACGGGTGGGGCAATACACCCCGCCCTCTGACTTCTTCTAAATGTCTCCGAGTGAATAAGTGTATCTGTACCTTATATCTGCCCACCCACAAATTTATCCAAGCTCGTCGTTCAAAGCAAAGGAAATCGTTCACGCGTTTTTCTTCAAATTCCAAGCCGGTAGAAGTCAACGGTGTGAATGATGCCACACCACCATTTCTCCCTCCCGACCAGCCAATGCGAAATCCCCCTCCCCTCCGCGCCGCAATGTTCCCGTCCCCTTCCACCTGCGCACCCCTCTGGCCAGCTGGCGAGCTTACCGACACGTGCGTGCCGGCGTGTAGGGCTCGGGTGTCGCTGAGTACTGGGTGATGACGTTTTCATAATGATCAAGGGCGGACCAAGGGGGTGAAGCAACGGGGCGTGTCGGCCTTCCCAATCGTCTTCCCATGGCGCTGAAATACGCTTTAAGTTTCACTGTTCCGCTTGACGTCAGTGCAACTAGCACCATATGTTGGTCTTGTGCAGAAGATGGTCAGGTGTACCTCAGCCGGAGGATGTCAGGTGTCAGGTGTACCTCAGCCGGAGGATGTCAGGTGTCAGGTGTACCGCAACCGGAGAGTGTCAGGTGTCAGATGCCGCTGAGCCAGGAGGGTGACAGGTGTCCGGTGTCAGGTGTACATCAGCCGGAGGATGTTTTGTGTAGGTGTCACTTAGTTGGAGGCTATCATGTGTCAGGCGTCCCTCAGCCAGGGAGCGTCAGGTGTCAGGTGTGGCGGGGAGCGCTTACCACCACCACATCACAAACACCAGCCCCCTGACTCAATTTCAGAGATTATTGGCTGGATCCGCCGCTTGTCATGCCAGGGTTTTAGTGTATATCATCGAAATGATTATGGCTTACAGCGTGCATCCAAAAACGAAGCGTAAAAATGGTGACCGGTCAGGTATCGTCAGTTTTTCGGAATTACAATGCTGCAGATTCATATTTTTGCTGCGTGCTTTAAACAAATTGAAATGATGAAAATTAGGCGATATGGTCCATGTCCATGACGATATGGTCCACTCCCCTAAGGTTTAAAACGTTCTAGTTCCCGAACTAAAACAGGTCGTTCATGGTACCTTTCGTTTGGGTTCAAGTGTGATAGCCTTGGCGGAGACGAAACAGGGGTCCGAGAAAGGCTCCAATCAGCGAATGGGCCCCGTCGGCTGGGCTTGTAGTGTCATCGGCTGCACTTGTAGTGACACAATAGAAAGGCTCCAATCAGCGAATGGGCCCCGTCGGCTGGGCTTGTAGTGACATCGGTTGCACTTGTAGTGGCACAATAGCAAGCCTCCGCTATTGTTTCGATAAAGGCATGTTGCCGCAATATCACCCCAACTATATATCCATTCTCCTGGTTTTTCTCCGAGGAATAAGGCTGATAATACTGTCTTATCTATATGAATAATGTTACTCGCTAATGCACTGAACAACTTGTGTTTTAGTTTTTCCAATTGTTTTTGACAACATACATGTTTGAGTAGCAATTGCCAGTGCGTTCAGTTACGCCATACTTTGTCCTTTTCTCATTATACTCAGGATGAAATATAATTTTCGAGTGCGAGTTGTTAGCAACTCGCGCTCCACCAAGGAATGCACCGCCAAGCTGTAAGACGCATTCCCGAGTTATTTGTTGTAACTATCTACCCCACTATCTGGTGTGCACAACACGATAGTTGTGATTGGACGAGCTGGCAATTCAGCAGTTCCGTGCAGCAATCGTACTGTATGACCAAGCCACGACGTAGCCAGGCGTGAGATAGATACTCAATGACATACAGTATGCAGCAAAGTTTAGCACGGCTGCGGGGAAGGGTGAAATTGAACCTGCTCACGTGCTTAAAAAAGTAGCGTCGGGGCTAGGAAGCTTTTGGTGTTTCTATCAACAAGACAATGTGACGTAAAATGCGACAGTTACCAGCCAATTAGGTCAATAGCGTTTTACTCAAGTTCTTAAGAACATCTGCAAGGAGCATCATGCATTTAAATAACACGGGACTGATAGTCTCATCCCTGGTAGAACAAACAGGAAAATAGGAGAGATAGACTAGCGTTAGTGTCAGTACAGCAATTAACAATAGCGTTTTAGTGAAAGCCAGGCAAGTCAGAATGCCCGTTCACCACGATCGCCGAGCAACCCCGGTCGGGTCGGCGCTCGTGACGTGGCTGGCGCACCGCCGAAGGGAGCCAAGTGCCGGCGTCCGCAGCGCCTACTCCCAATACTGAGCTGAAAAGCGTTGTGTAGAACGGAGACCTGCCTCAGCACGACCTTAGGCCTACCAAGCCGCGCCCTTATCTTCCCACCGGAAGACGCAGCCGCTCTTCTTGGAAACACGCGGGACGGACTGCGTCAGAGTTCCGCGGATATTGCGTACTGGTGTGACGGCTTGAGACGTGGGCGTCGATGGCGGGAGAGCCCCCAACCATATCGGAACAAACTTTGTGAATTTGCTTGATGGGTGTCTGCAGCGAGCGCGATATTTCACTAAAATTTACAGGCGAAAACTGCCATGCGTGCTGTGTCAGTGCCTCACATCTTCGGCCAGCGTTTCATCTGCATATTTACGCTGAATTCGATAGATGTGCTGACGCTCTGGTTTTGACGTAAGGAAAGGAACTTTTTTGGTAATCAGCGCCCATCAAGCAATGTCCCCCTATGTATGATATAAGATATATTATATATTATATATGTATATATATATAATATATACACATATATATACATTAAGTAGATTTAATACAAATATAACAATACTTATATATATAATATATATCCATCTATCTATCTATCTATCTACTATCTCTCTCTCCTCTCTCTCTCCTCCCTCTCTTCTCTCGCCTCTCTCTCTCTCTTCTCTCGGGCCTCTCTCTCACTCATCATCTTCTCTCTTCATCTCTCTCTCTCTCTCCTCTCTCTTCTCTTCTCTCTCGGAGGGGGTGGGAGATCTCTCTCTCTCTCTACTCTCTCTCTCTCTCTCTCTTCCCCTCTTCATCTTAATTTCCTCAACGCCGGCTATCCGCCGTGGTCTTGACCCGCGCTGTTTGGTCGCCAGGTCAAGGCGCTGAAGCGTGAGTTTCCGGTGCTGCGCCACCTGGAAAGCTCCTACCACGTCCGTCAGGAGCGGGACGGCCTTCTGATCGGGCCCTATGAGCATCCGGACCGCATGAGTCTCTCCGAGGACTGGGTCCTGAGGGGCGTCCGGCCAGGTACGCGCCGGGACAGGGGCGCCTCCTGATCGGAGGGGCGCGGTGCGAAACGACGCGCGTGAAGACAGCTTGCCGAGCGCTCTGAGGATAAACAGGCTGAAGCCGATTGAAAGCAAAGTGTTCACTCGTCGCTGATGTCACATTCACTTGGGCCTGTCACAATGTTGATGCCTTGGTCTCCAACCTACATATCAACCTCGCAGGGGCACCGGCTTCGGCCGGTGTTGGGGACTAGCGCCCCTTCGGGTCCCAGCTCCGGTAACGGGTGGACAGCGCAAGCTGTTCCTCTCAGGGCCGTAGCGACACTGCCGGTACATGAGCTCCTGCTTCTTGTCCCGCCTGCTCCCTTCACATTACCCGCACTCCCGCATCCGACCCTATCACCACTCCTCATCCTCGTTGTATCGGGGTCGCCGTGCCCCCTCGCCCGCGTCCCCGGGTTGATCGGATCCTGGTGGCTGAGAGGCGCGTCGTGCGGGTCAGCCGCGCGGCGGTCCCAACACTCCACTTCGGCCAGGATATCCGGGAGCGCGGGGGGCCTGTGGGGCCCCGCACGGGTTCTAGCGGCTTGTCGCTCGCGTGCGGTTGGGTGCTCCTTGCGGGTTTCCGCTCGGGGCGCCTGGCCGCGCGCTGCGGCTTAAGGGGTCAAGGGGCGGCGGCGCTGAACCACGGTCAGGACGGGAAAGGATCTCCCCGGTTACACCTGGCCGTGTCGGAGGCGTCGCTCGCCCCGTTATAGCGCCGGAGTAGCCCCTGGCGGTGACCACCTCCCGAGGAAGTGTTGGGTTGTCCCCCAGTTGGGCTCCGTGGTGGGTGGGGAGCCCCGGTGCCGAAAGAAAACCACTTTTTGCATGGCGTCCTCTACCTCTAAAAACACCCGTCCTCCGAAAGGGGGTCAGACCACGATAACCCAAGGGTGCGGAAAAGACTCTGCTATCTCCGGACCACGGATCCTCGTCTTCGAAAGTCATGAAATTAGGGTGGCGTCCCTGTCACCGTTTCAGAGAAAAAATAGCGTGACAAATTTGAAAAAAATTATCAGACGTGAGAAGCTCCTGGATGGAAAAATAAAAGTTGAATTTGCTGGTGATTTGGAGGCAAGTCGGGCTGTGGAAGCAACTGAATTTACGTACAGTGTTCGAGATGGGGCTGGTAAACGTGGGAAACACAGTGTCAATGTCAGCGACACCACACAACACCAAAAATTCGTCCAGGGGCGTGGTGAACTGTATTGATCTGCGTGACGTTGAGGAGGAAGAGATCGTGGAGGAGCTCTCGGATTTTGAAGTGACCGCCGCTCGACGGATCCTCGTTAGAAGGTGAGGAGAGTTGGTGCCCACCAGCAACCTCATACTCACGTTCTGTCGCCCTGACTTACCGTCCGAGATACGGGTGGGATACGTCCGCATGAAAGTACGTCAGTTTTTACCTAACCCCATGCGGTGCTATCAGTGCCAGCGATTTGGTCACACGAAACCCAACTGTCGGAACCACGCAGCGTGTGGAAAATGTGCGCCCCTCGAGCACATGAGCGAAGACTGTACTTCTGACAAACCCCACCGTGTCAACTGCGGCAAGGACCAGGTTCCGCACATGTCGCACGACCGTGCATGTCCAGCCTACGCCAAGGAGAAGGAAATCATATCAATCACTTCTAAAAACGTATCCTTCCTTGAGGCTCGAGAATTTTATAACGAAACCCATCCAAAAATATCGTACGCATCGAAAGTGAAAGCTTCGTTGCCGGACACTAATGCGATCGAGTAAATGACGGCTGTTCAATTTCTGGAACTTCTAGGGTCATTTGGCCTATCAGTTGTACCCTCAACACGCGCCCTGGACTCGCAGCCAGCACTCTAAGCGCCCTTCCCACCAACCGAGCAGTAGGTGGTCGCCGTGCTGCCGGCCTCCTCGACACCAGTTGGATCGCCAACAAATGACGGCTGGACAACGGTTCGACGTGGCTGCAGCCTTCGCGCGCCGTCCGGTATTCCTTCGTCTGAGAAACCACCGGTCTCCTCATCACAGACACCCCTCACCAGTGGCTCAGCTTCCGCCGCCTGTCCTCATATTGGGTGATTTTAACGCTCACCACTCAGCGTGGGGTTGTGCCAAGACAAACACTCGCGGGAAACGCTGCGAAGCCCTCATACATGAAGAATCGCTGTGCCTCTTAAACACGGGCACGCGTACCCATTTTACACTCCCATCAGGACAGGCTTCAGCAATCGGCTTAAGTCTTTTGAGCCCACAACTGATCAACCATTTTGACTGGTCGGTGTCAGACGATCCAGTGGGAAGTGACCACTTCCCCATTTGGATCAAGTACCGGGCTGACGTTTTCCTTGGTTCTCGACCACAGCGCTGTAATTTTAGAAAAGCCGACTGGATCGAGTTTCGAGCGAGGATCGAGCATTCCCTTACTATGCAACCAGCGAGTGAACACCCTTCAACAGAGGATTTGACCTCGTTGATTTTGCGATCTGCAGAAGGGTGCTTGCCGCGAACGTCGGGCTGCCCTCGTCGTCCTCCTGTCCCATGGTGGACGCAGCAGTGCCGGGACGCCATCTGTGCGCGTTACAGGGCCGTTAGAAAGTTTGACCGTCGGACCACAACTGACTATCTAATTGCACTTCGACGAGCACGAACAGCTGCTAGACGCACCATTCTAGATGCTAAGCGGGGCATCGTGGCGATCGTACGTCGGCCAACTAAACTGCCAAACACCTGCATCCAACGTATGGTCACGGATCAAACGCATTGCGGGACAGCACTCGTCTGCACCACGCCCTGTGCTCCGTATCACTGGACGTGACATTATTCACCCAGCTGACGTAGCAAATGAAATAGCCCGCGTATTCTCCGAGTGATGTGGTGACGGCAATGCCCTCCCACAGTTTATGGGTCACCGGATCCGCTGCGAGGCATCCCCTGTCGACTTCAGCATGACAGAACAGATGTCATACAACCGACCTTTTATAATGGCCGAACTAATTTCCGCGATAGGATCGCTGCGCAACGTGGCAGAGGGTCCGGATCTAGTTCACAACGTCATGCTTAAGCAACTTCCCACTTCAGTAGTTGAGGCCCTCTTAGCAACGTACAGCAAACTCTGGGCGAATGAAGGTTTTCCGGAGTCTTGGCTTGAGTCACACATTGTCCCTATGCTCAAGCATGGTAAGAGTGGGGCTGACCCTGCCGACTACCGCCCTACTTCACTGACATCATGCATTTGTAAGTTGTTGGAACGTATGGTAAATGTACGCTTGTCGTGGTTTTTGGAGCGATACAATGCTTTTATGGCTGATTAATGTGGATTCAGGAAAAATCGCACTACCATTGACCATCTTATAGCTCTCGACACAAACACCCGCACCACTTTTATGGAAAAACGACATGTTGGCGTTATATTTTTTATGTTGAAAAAGCCTACGATACAACGTGGCGTTACGGCATCCTGAAAAAGCTCTTTCATCATGGCACTCGAGGAGCCAGGGGCACGTTCTTAGCGAACTTTATGACCGATCGTTTTTTCAGAGTTCGCGTTGGCTCACACTTTTCGGATAGGTACCAACAAGATAACGGCGTGCCCTAAGGCAGAGTTCTGAGCGTCGTTTTGTTCGCTGTGATGATAAACGATATTGGCGACTCCCTTCCAAAGTCGGTCAGTCGCTCTCTCTTCGTGGATGATGTCGCCATCTGGTATGCCTCGTCAAACTTTGCTTCTTTGGAGCGTCGCTTGCAGTTGGCTGTGATCAGCCTGGAGAGATGGAGTGTTGTAAACGGACTACGTTTCTCAACCTCGAAAACAGTCGCTATGCATTTTTGCAGACGACTTCGTCAATGCCCCGCCATGGCTTTAAGGCTATACGGTCAGACCAACCCGAACGAATCCAGTACCGGCTTCTTGGGTCTGCAGTTTGATAACCGTTTAGCGTATGCGTCACATCTGAAAACCGTACGTGACAACTGCTTTAAAGCATTGAGCACATTGAAGTATGTGTCTCGAACAAGTTATGGAGTGGACAGAAGAACACTGTTACTGCTACACCGCTCACTTATACGGTCGAAATTTGACTATGGCTGTTTTATTCATGACCGCGCGCCGAGTTCCTCCAAACGTTTAATAGACACCGTGCACCATACCGCATTACGCATTGTGACGGGGGCATTCAGGACGTCGCCAGTTGCTAGCTTTACCATGGAAGTTAATGAACCGGCGTTGGCACTGAGAAGGGAATTGCTTGGCATGCGGTGCTTTTGCAAGCTGGCTCAATTTCCGAACCATCCGACTCACCGAGCAATCTTTTCACGTGATGTGGAAAGCAAGTTCTAAAGAAGCGGAAGGCCGTCCGCTGTTCTATTTGGTGTCCATATGAAGAAGCTGTTCCGGGAAAGTGACATAAGTCTGCGTTGTGTGCTAAGGTCGCGTCCCGTATTAGTGCCTCCATGGGAGCTAATCTCACCAAAAGTGGATGTATCCCTTTCATGCACCAGCAAACAGAGAGCGATCCTATGCGACTTGAGATCGAAGGCCCTGGAGCACATCGGGTCGTACATAGGTTTTCAAGCCACATACACTGATGGGTCCAAAACGGGGGTGGGCGTTGGTGCTGCATTTGTAAAAGACCAAGCCACCCAGTCCTTTTCTTTACCGAAACACGCCTCCGTTTAAACGTCCGAGCTCTTTGCAATAAGTAAAGCCCTACGCTTCATCGAAGTTGGTGAGAGCAACTCACACGTGATCTTATCCGATTCTTTGAGTAGCCTGTCGGCCCTGACAGCCTTTAACCCACCTTGTCCCATTATACAGGATATTTTAGTTCGCCTGACAGCGCTGGATCTCAGTGGTTCGTCATATTGGATACCGAATCAAGTGGGTATCGCAGGTAATGAGCGTGCTGAATCGGCCACAAAAGGGGCAGCGTGTGCACTTTGTACCCGTTCTTTACCGTTGCCGGCAAGGGACTTTTACACTGCCATCGCGACCTTTGTGAAGGGGAAATGTCAACGCTGCTGGGATGCCGTTGTAAACAATAAGTTAAAGGCGTCCAAGCCGCAACTGGATCCATGGCCGTCAAGCTCACGTAAGTTGAGACGTGAAGAATTAACCCTCAGCAGATTACGAATTGGCCATGCGCACGCAACACATAGCTACCTTTTGTGCGGCGGAGAACGCCCTATATGTCCTCGTTGTGATGCGCCACTCACGGTTCGCCACGTCATTCACTTCTGCCCGCAGTTCAGAGAAGAGCGGGCACTTTACTTCGGACGAGATGCGTCAGGTCTTACCTTTTCAGACCTTATTGGTGACGATTCTCGCATGCTTGGCACCGGACAGCTGTTTTCACGTTGAGAAGCGTCGGATTCACAGCCATTTATACATCTCGATAAACACTTAGCTGTCATGGGCGCAAAATGACCTTAGAAGTCGACGCGCCCTAAAACCCCAATCATCATCATCAGCACCCACATTACATGGGTCTGCGGAACTAAACAGGGCGTGGCGATCTTGCATGCCGGTAATGTCACATGCTCACAGGGTCATGACTTTGTCGACACCTGCCGTCCGTTGTGGCAATAATAGTTTCTGTTTATTGCCGCTAGGGTTCGGTCGCGAACTGTTCCCGCCGGATCTGGACCGTATTGAGCCCAACCTAGAAATGGCCATGGAGCTGCTGCTCTGTTTTGCTGAGGCGAGCATCCAGAGCGTGGTGAACGGGCCCATCACCTACTCGCCGGACGTGCTGCCCATGGTGGGCCCCACACTGCTGCCCAACATGTGGGCCGCCGTCGGCTTCAGGTGAGAAATGGGCGCATGAGGAGGGAAGCTGCTCGGGTATTTCGTGAAGACGAAGAGGCTATTTTTGAACAAGAGGTGCAATGCCTTGAGATTGGACAAATGCTGGACAGTCTAACACTGACACCACGTGGGAAGTATGTCCTGGCTTTGGTGGCAGGCTGCGGTCAAACATCCTTGAACAGCTGGCTCCGCAGACGGTGACTAGCAGATGCCACAATTGCAGACGGTTGGTAAAGTAGACTCGGCTGGACAGTTAGCTGGCGATTCCATCGGACGACTGCGCTGGCCTCCCTAGAGACGCCGCTACACGCGGAGCAGTCCTGCTCGTCACCGTCACACAACCGCTGCGTACCTATTACGTTTGTTGTATGTTACCTGCCCCCAAACAAATTGCATTGCTCCAGTGTAAGCGGGCATGCTGCCAAAGATGCTGGGCCTGTATTTGGACTGGGAGTGTTGTCTGACTGGATTGTGCGTCTACCGAATGAAATGCTTAACTGGACCGCTTGCTCCACTGAAGGCTTTTTACAGATGCAATATCACACCCTCGCCTTCCCGGCCATGTTGAAGGTTCGTAACCAGTGCTTACCCCTCCGCCCCCCCCCCCTACCCTCGCCAGATACGGTATCGTGCTCCGCGGCTCGCACCCACTGCTCTTCCCTTCGAACCCCTCACCAGGTGCGATATTGTATTCCGCGGCTCGAAAATTTCTCACTCCTCCAAGCCCCCACCAGGTACGATATTGTGTTCTAGAGCTCATAACACTGTTCATCCCTCCGAGCCCCTCACCAGGTACGGCATGGTGTTCCGCGGCTCGAACACTGCTCATACCTCCAACTCCCACCAAGCACGGCATGGTGTGCCGCGGCTCATAACACTGCTCATCCCTCCGAGCCCCTCCCCAGCTACGGTATCGTGTTCCACAGCTCGTAACACTGTTCATCCCTCCGAGCCCATCACCAGCTACGGTATCGTGTTCGTGGCCCCTAACACCGCCTCCCCCCCCCCCCTTCGTGGCCACTTGCCAGGTACGGTATCGTGCACGGCGGCGGAGTGGGCAAGTTCCTGGCCGACTGGATACAGCAGGGCGAGCCGCCGTATGACCTGATCGAGGTGGACCCATGCCGCTACGGGCCCTGGACCACCGACAGCTACAGCCTGGCCAAGTGTCGCGAGAGCTACGGCATGAACACAGCGCTGGGCCTGCCGCGTGAGGAGCGCTGGGCAGGTGCGTGATCCGGGACACTGGCGCGTGGGGCCTCCCGCCCCCCCCCCCCCCCCCGCTGAACCGGCTGCCTTTCGGCTCTGCCCTTGCCGCAATCAGAACAGCTCGGATGTTCGTTGTAACGTCTGTGTGTTGTCGGGGTGTTCATAGCCCGCACAGCCTGTTGTCCAACCGGGCGGGACTAGATGGTCCAGACCGGGACATTCTGGTCTAGATTTGGGCTCCGGATGGCAATAGCGTCGCGGGTTGAGTGACAGACGGAAGACGGAATAAAGTATGACATCTCGCGTTTAACTATGATTGGATTTCCTGCGACCAGCCATTCATTTACGTTGAAAATAAAACCTACTGACATCTGTCGATGAGCGTTGCTCATTAAACCAGGCACCCGCGGGTCACAAACTGCTACATGACCCATCCCATATTTCCCATGGTAACGTAATGACCTCGGCTACCACTTTAGCCTGCAGACTAACATCCCCCCGCGGACTTGCACCACTCTGCGTCCTCCCCGCCACCGACCTATGCCCAGCGGGCGGCGCGGGCCGGCGGTGACCGTGACCCCTCATCGCAAGTCGGCCCACCAGCCGGGTCAGCGGGGCTCACGCGCAGCTGGTGGCGCGCGGCGCCTCCATGGAGCAGCACACCGGGTGGGAGCAGCCGGCGTGGTTTGCCGAGCCCGGCACCGAGCCCGAGTACAGGCCCAGCTTCCAGCGCACCAACTGGCACGAGCGGGTCGGCGACGAGTGCCGCACCGTCATGGAGCGGGTCGGCGTCATCGACATCACGCCCTTCGCCAAGTTCTACCTCTCGGGTGGGACAGACTTTACGTTTCAGGGTTTGGGCCGGACTTGGCGACGCGTGAGGATTAGGAAACGATCAAGACGGAAACAGAAAGCTTGCTTACTTTGTACATGTAGCGACGCAAATAACGAGCAAATTACACAACGATTGCAATAGCAGATCTGCAGAACTTCCCAGATCAACCTGACTGTACTTCGGCGCAACTGACAAGAATTTGCAGGTGTCACAGCCGTCTGAACAGCAACACCCTCTTCCGCTACCTAGGTTCGGACGCCCGTGCACTTCTGGAGTACGCCACGGCGAACACGATACCCGCCACCTGGAGGACCTGCGTCGCGCACTACTTGACCCCCGGCGGCAAGGTCATGGCCGAGCTGACCCTGACCTCTCTCCCCGATGAGAAGTTCCTCATCATCACCGGCACGGGCAGCGAGTTCCATGACCTCAGGTTGGTTATGTAACAGTCGTTTTAGACTAGCCTTTCGGTGTAGTCTGCTGTATGGTGTCGCGTATGCTTGAGTGTAGTTATGTATGCGTATTGACTCAGTCCAGACTCGACCTGAGTCCGCTCTCGAGAGCTTTTCATGCCCGAACGCGAGTGAGCTGTTCTGATTGTCAAGGGGATCTGATGCGAGTCAGTCGAACTAGCACTCCCTAATTAGTCTAAAATTGTGGATTCGGGCTTGGTTCGAAATGAACAGTTTAAAAGACAGAATACTCGGACCGGGAGATGAGACTCAGATTTAGGACACTTATACCCTGATTCGTGCTTTGACTTAGACTTAGACTCTAATATCAAAAGTGAATGCCAACCAAAATCAGGTTCGGAGAATACACCAGCATTCTGACTGGGACCCGAATGAAGTCATTTGACTCGGCCACTTTATTGGTAATGCGGACAGCGGGGTATGTCTGTCTGCAGTAGGGCGGTATGTCTGTTGGCATGCCGTCTTCTATGATCAACCACCACACATCTCGATGATCAGCCGACCGATTCAACACATTGGTATTGATCAAATGTCGCACCATCAGCTAGATCAGTAAGTCGGCTGTTTTTGATTCCAATACTTTTGGCCAGCGGTGGTCAAGTTATGATTCATCACAGCCACACAGTGACCACTATGCCCACTGCAGACCTCGGCTGCCCACATCGCTGCTCTAACAACGGCAGGCTCGCAGCTGACTGTGACCAGATACTCCAACAGGCTTCAGACCGGGATATGGGATAGATGTGTGGCTGCCACGGCTGTAAATCCTGAAGATGGGGAAAGGTCGTGTTAGCCTCAGGATCCTCTGGATCGAGCTATTCAACGTTGAGGCTGTGGCACGCATTATGCATTTCGGACCAAAACAAACACTGAACGGCCTGCTCTGGGAGACATCTCTTGCGGGGACCGCTACTGCTGACGGTGCCACCCCCCCCCCCTCGCTGTCGGCAGGTGGTCGGCAACACGACCTCCGGGTGCTACAGCCACAACACCGGCCAGACCCTGGCCAAGGCGTACGTGCCGCCGTACCTGGCAGTCGCCAGCACCGAGGTGCAGGTCAATGAAAGGGCGCGCGGCCCGGTGAGGTGCGATTCGTTCCAGTCCAGTGGATACCGGTCGATGACAACGCAGCGGCTGATGGAACCGTTCAGCACCAACGTCAAACATTCCCAAGTTCAGAGGCATGGTGGCAATGGCCCTGGACCCTTGCTTTCCAGAAAGCAAACGCGGCCATATCTCGCCCGCAGTGTTATTCTAATAACGCTGCGCGACCGTCCGTAAGCGCTGAACAAGTACACAGAGCGCAAATAGAAATGAGCGGTGAGCTACATATTATGACGTTTGGTGTGTCCCTACCCTCCCTCGTCGTTTCGCCACCTCACGTGCAGCAGGCCCGGACCGGCGGCGGGCTGGCCGCGCTCGCCGCTGTCGCTGCCGTCGTTGGCCGCCGTCCGTACTGATACTGCGGTGCCGCTGCGGCAGGTGGCGCTGCTGGGCGAGCGGCGGCCCGCCGTGGTGCTGCCTGGTCCTCCGCTGCTGACTCAGCCGGCCAGAGACGCGCTGAAGCGCAAGGCCGCCAAGGCCAAGGCCAAGCAGAGACGGAGCCAGCCACGCGGGGATTTTTCTACTCACTGTGGTGCAATGGATATGCACTACACAAGCTCATTGTGTAATTTTGTGTAATGCCTTGGTGGGATTTGTACTGTGCAATACGAAGTGGCGGGAATATATGAGGGCCTGGTTTAACATTCCTGTGTGTTTTGTGTTTAGCGCAGCCTTTTGGTTGTGAATGTTGAGTGTCATAGCAGATATCAATGTTATGCATCTGTAGCCACAGGAGCATGGGTTCACACTCCTAGTCGAGTGATATTTTAGTTGTTCATTTATTTTGTGTATGTGATGTGGGTGTTAAAACTGTAGCCATACATCGATTTAGATAAGACAGTAGCGATAGCCATCTTGCTCAGAGAAAAACTAAGAAAATTGAGATAAAGCTGCATTGATATTTCGGCAACATGCCGTTATCGAAACGAATAGCAGAAGTGAATTCAAAATTGCCTGCCGATCATCCCACACCATTTTTTCAGTTTACTCACCTGTCCGTCTTATGTCGACTGTCTTGGCTATGTGCATAATGTTCCTCGCAAATGCACTTCGCAACTCACTGTTTATGGATTGGTTAAACCCATGAGTTTTGGCCTAATCCGCAGACTGAGCTGAACTGGGCAGGACAAGCCACAAACGACATAGACTGAAACTGGATTGGTCACTGTAGGTGGAGTCCAGCAACATAGCGGTAGCGCAAGGAAAACATGAATGAACACTACAAAAACACTAGGGGTGTGCCCACGGCACCACTCGTGATGCGTTAACAACCGTCACAACCACACATATTTTACATGCGTCTGGTGATTGTTAGATTTTCAACGTGAAAATTCCCACGTCCAACAATCAAAAGAAAATAACTTGTGTAGCCCACACACAAGTTTTTGCGACCTTGTTTCCCGTTAATCATGACGTGATCAACATGATCGGACTCCCATATGTCAGAGAGATGTGGGAATCCCGGAAACACCGGTTGTCATTGGGCGCGGAAACTTGTAATCATCTACACCGAAAAGGCGTGATGCAGGGAAAGGAAAAATGGAGAGAACGGCTTAGTACTGTCAAGAACAACAGAGTAAGAGCTGATACAGAAATGACACGTATCCTGCCTCAGCCGTTCCTCCCTCAGGTGCGGCTCGAAGGGCGCGCGTGGTATCCAATAGCAGAACAAGCCTCGAGGAGGCCCCCATGTTTTACGTCATCTCCCAGTGCTACCCGCCACCGGTTGGAATTTTGTCATGTCTTCAGAGCCTGTCAGAGCCTGTCGAGGTCCTTCGCCGATTTTTTTTTCGCGGTCGAGAATAGCAAATCCACTCGTAGATCAAGCTTGATCATGAGGCCACGGCACGTCCCTAGTATGGAAGAAGACTGCATTCGTGATTGAACTATCCCATTGTGTAGGACCGGTGTGCTTGCATTCTGTGCAGCAACAGTTATCCTGGCACGCGTTGAATGGCATTGCATAAGTGGACGTTTTGGTTGCGTACATGATATTGCAAGTTGCGGTGATAAAAGAGGGTTTTGGTGATACGTTGGTTTCTGATTAAGCTGCTGGGCATAAACGTCACTGCCATTTCTTGTCATATGGTATCGCGTTACGCTGCTGGCGACAGAGGTATCTGCAGAAATTCGATCGGCGACAAAAAATACACTCTCACTACCCTTGGCCCAAGGTCCCCCCCCCCCTAGCCTACGGTCGCCCCATAGAAGCGGCCCCTTCAAAAATGCTCAAGATGTGATATGCAGAAGATCAGCACGACGTGAACACATCCATACGCTCCAATGCGCGGGGAAAACAGAAATTTTGCTCATATAGGTAGCTTCACACACTTCACTTCCAATCAGTCAATGTTCCCCAAATCAGGCATGCCATGCATTCAAAACGGTCCTCTTTGTCCAGCTAAAACAATTGTGTGTTAGAATTGATAAAAAGCACAGAACTTCAGAAACATTAAAGTGCAGCCAACTTTTCACCCCACCAACACTCTGCCGACGCTCAGTCCACGGTCGGCTAATGCAAGCAGATGATTTTCAGATCACCTTTCGCTGGGCATGTGATATCTGTTCCCGTGCAAATTAAACTGGTTTCAGTTTCTCACCCAAAGACTGACGGTGAAATATCTCTAATAGCTAAATATGAGCTATTTCTAAATAGTTTTGACTATTTGGCATGCCTGATTTGGCGAATGATGGCGATTGACGATATTGACGATAGCCTTTGTAAAACCATCCTCGAACCACGACGTTAACAAAAACGTCAATCCTGCAAGGGCTACGCGCGAGCAATTATGCTTATCTTTGGCCTCAAACACCCTCGTGCACTATGCGAAAGTAAATTCGAGTGTCGCGCTGCTGTAAATTTGCGAGTCGTGGTGGTTCTCCTCCTGGAAATCCTCTATTTTTACCGCTCCCTGCTGGCGTTCTAATTTAAAAGGGGTGCAGGCTGTCCCTAGCATGAAGCAACTGAATGGCAGCCATAAACTATGAATCAGCGAGGAAAACACGACGTTAACGACAGTAACGCGCCGGCTCACGTTTAGATATGCCATATCCTGTGAAGCCATGACTTGCCTCCACCGGAGCCTGCCACTGTCAGTTCAGTTTGTTTGCCAGGGGCCCCAAGTGCAAACACCATCGGCGCCTCAGCCGTGCATACTTTACATCTCAAGGTTCTCCACGTCGACTGCACCAGGTGGGAGGACATATCTCGTGCCAGGCAACCTTGGCCGGTGCTCCTGCATATCAAATAGCGCCACATGGGTGCCCACAACTGCTGCCGTAAATTTGAGAGTCGTGACGGCTTGCATCCAGGAACTCATCCATCCTCGCCGCTCCCTGCTGGTGATCTTGTCTAAGAGAGTGCACGGCTGAGCCGACTTATGGAGCAATTAAATGGCTATACACTAAAGTGGCCGAGAAGCAAATTGCAGTCAGGCAAGGATAGGTGGCTCATGGGCACCTGTGCAATCGTTTTAACCAAGCTCGATGACTCTATCGGAGAATAATAGCTAGTTTACTTAAATTAAACATTTGATAAACTGGCAAGCCTAGCCTGATTTGTTCAAAAAGCTGCTACACACTGGTGAGAATATATTTTTAGTTTGCGGAATACAGAACATATTTGAACAGAGTCCGCTGGCATTTGGTCTGCAATTTATTTCCGTCCGACAGTGCCGACAATAACCAGATGCCTCCAAGCAGGATTCAGCGCTGCACCTCATTTTGAGCATGGCATCGCTCATTGAATGCGTCCCGTTACACTGCGATTAGCAGGTATTCGGCTGTGATTCGATGCGTAACTTTGGCTCGGTGAGTCTTGCGCTCAATTTATCAAAAAGGGTGGACATTTTGGATCAAAATACTTTTCTGTTCAGACGCAAAGATTCAGAGCTAGGGCGCGAGAAGGGTGGGATTTTGAATCCAGAGTGACAGCCTTGGTTTCTATCCCACAACTCTATGCGCAATACCGTATCCACATCGGTAGTTAAGCAAACATAGATGTGTCCGGAGCACCTACAAAACATGCATTCGTAGCACGCGCCTGGGTGGCGAGAGTTTGCCCCCCCCCCCCCAATTCCGAATGGTGTGCGCGCGCGCTTGTGTGTGTGTGTGTGTGTGGTTGTGTGTGTGTGTGTGTGTTGTGTGTGTGTGTGTGGTGTGTGTGTGTGTGTGTGTGTGTGTGTGTGTGTGTGTGTGTTTGTGTGTTGTGTGTGTGTGTGTGTGTGTGTTGTGTGGTTGTGGTGTGTGTGTGTGTGTGTGTGTGTGTGTGTGTGTGTGTGTGTGTTGTGTGTGTGTGTGTGTGTGTGTGTGTGTGTGTGTGTGTGTGTGTGTGTGTGTGTGTGTGTGTGTGTGTGTGTGTGTGTGTGTGTGTGTGTGTGTGTGTGTGTGTGTGTGTGTGTGTGTGTGTGTGTGTGTGTGTGTGTGTGTGTGTGTGTGTGTGTGTGTGTGTGTGTGTGTGTGTGTGTGTGTGTGTGTGTGTGTGTGTGTGTGTGTGTGTGTGTGTGTGTGTGTGTGTGTGTGTGTGTGTGTGTGTGTGTGTGTGTGTGTGTGTGTGTGTGTGTGTGTGTGTGTGTGTGTGTGTGTGTGTGTGTGTGTGTGTGTGTGTGTGTGTGTGTGTGTGTGTGTGTGTGTGTGTGTGTGTGTGTGTGTGTGTTGTGTGTGTGTGTGTGTGTGTGTGTGTGTGTGTCATTGGGGCTTTTACGGCGCACTCAGCTGCTGAGGCTACATGGCGTCGCCTGCCTCCCACCCCGGCGGGAAGCACGGGCACCGCGGGGATATCCTCCGAATGGTACGGCGTAGCCGCGTCACGCATCGTCAGCCTGTAGGCAGATGAACGGCCGATCATTTGGTAAAGACAAAACAGATGTACCCTGTAAGGCATAGGGAATTATTCAATCTGCTGCAACAATGGATCTGGGTTAAAGTTGGTTGCATGAAGAGGTCTAACGACGATTCGGATACTGACTGGATTTCGAACTTATTTGATCTTATTATGCTTGAAGTTTATGACCTCAAACCTCAAAATTTGACACACATCGGTTCACATACAGGCTTAGCTATTTTGTAAGCGTTCTTTCTCTAACTTTCAATTTTTGAAATATTAGGGGGTTAAACCACCCTCTTTCCAGCTGAGCGCATCGCATTTAACCGGCCACCCGGGCGAGTGTTAAAGCGCGTGTCATTATGATTAGGGTGTCTGGCGCCTGATGATAAGAGCTGGAGCCAGTAAATTCAACTACTGCAGCTCAAGTTTTTTGGCTGAAATTACTTGTCATAACATTCGCAACAGGTGAATTGAAATTTACGTTTTATGACTGCTACATTGCTATTGTTCTATCTTTTTTGGATAAATACTCGTTGGGCTTAGTTAAAAACCTGTGCTTGATGCATTTTGCTGAACATTACACGAGGTTCGTAGGCATAATATCGACGTCGATGAACAAAAAGGTTTTCATCGCACTCATTCTGCGTTGTGATGGCATCTCCTATGCCGCTGTTATTGTCTAATTTGGCGCACATTTCGTAATTCTAATTAGTAAAATCATTGTTGCTTTGTCTGTCTCTCCAGGTTACGTTTTGTCCTATTCCAAATATGACTGCATTTTGCTTGCATAGTTTTCACTGGGGCAGTTTTTTGGCAACTATGACATGCGATCGTTAGAATATTTGTAGTGCGATTATGAACACCTCAAAACGAAGTAGCCGTTTACGCACAAACAGGCTAAAAAACTGTGCCTCTATTGACGGGCAGATTAAGGCATCGCACGAAGGCACTAACAGGTGAGATATTGTCTTTATGCGTGACATGTTCGAGAACGTCAAAACATGTCCTACCGTTTCTTTTGCACGCTTCTCGGCTGTCGCCGAGTTGAGCGGCAAGGGCAAAAAATCCTTCATGAGCGGCCTGGACAAAAACGAAGAAACTTGATGCGCCATGGTTAGTTTGGTGCCTCTTATTGAGGTGGTTGGTTGACCGATCAAGAACACTCAGTAGCTGACATTAACGTTGACAGCGTCACTTTCCCTTTTCCTTTTTGTTTTTTAAGGTGACGTGACTTACGTCGCCACACAACATATACTGGAGACAAAACGGCCGCAGTGGCCATATTA